CGGTCTTACAATGTATTACGTGGAGGACAATTATTACCAATTATTTGTAGTTAATAAGAATAGTAAAATTAAGTTATTTAGTTTGATATCTCACCAATCTATTAGTATTATTAGTAACATTTTTATTTTTCGCGCGTTGGGTCACGAAAATAATTATTATTAGAGGAAAATCATATATCCACGTTTGGTTTAATAACATTCTCTTTCAAGGGTAATAAGTATTCCCAACAATAACAATTTTGAGGTACTGTTCTGAAAATGTTATTTCCTCTTTTTTTCTTAAGTATTAAATAATTTATTTTTCTTTAGACAATAATACCTTGAAATAATTTATTTATTTATTTTTAATAATTTTAGATTTTTAATACTTATTATAAAATAATATGATGTATGCAAAATAAAAAGTAAAATAAACACATATCAAATTTTATTTTATTCTAATTATTTATTATGTATGTGTTCGATTCAAGTTTTATTTTTTGTACGTGTTTTGTTACATTTATTTTTTAGTATTGCTTTTCATACAAAAAATATATATTATATTTTTTATATTGTCTATTAATTTTGTCAAATAATTTGATATAATGTTTCGTTGTACAACTCATTCATGTAGCATGAATAAAATAAAAAAAGTGTATCAATTAACACATTTATATCAGTGTAAGTATATACATCTTCCAATATATTGGTACCTGAAAATAAACACAGAATTATATTAGTGTAAATATGTTTCTATATTTTCAAAGAAATAAAAAATATATAATAAATTATTTGTGTATAAATTTTACTGAAAAAAATCTATAAATTAAAAATATTATTTTTATGAACTTTCATGTAAATATTTTGAGTTTAATATTGAGAATTCAAATTGTTAAAAAAGAAAATATATTTCAATGACAATTTAATAAAATATACGGTTTTCTTATCTTATATTTCTTCAACAAAACATTATAACCTTACATTTTTACCAAACAAATCAAACAATATAACACATCATTTTAGCAATATGTTAAGTAATATAATATTTTAATAATAGTATTCTCAAATATAATCTTAGATTTGGGGTATATTTGTTTCAATAAAAACTTTTTTCGAAAAATATTTTTCGTAAAATAAATTATATTTTTTGAAAAATGTTTTCTGAAAAATGTTTTACGATGTTGTTTAAACCCTTTTCCACTAGTTGATGATTTTTTTAAAAATTATTTATTATAAATATTAAATACAATAAATAATATTATTTATCATAAAACTTATTATTATTACTTTTAAAATATTAAAACGATTAATTTATTATTAAAATATTATTTTTATAATTTTATTAATAAAAATATTAATATTGATATATTTATTGAAATAAAAATATTATAAATTATATTAATTATTTATTAAAGTAATAGTGTTATATTGTATTTTAAAAATATTAATTAGTATATTTTAAATATCTTTATTAAAATATTATTAGATTATTATTAAATATATAAATAATATTATTCATTATTAATAATTTAATAATATTATTTCTATGAAATTAATAAATAATATAAATTTTATTAATAATTTATTATATATTATTAAAATATAATATAATATAATATCTTATATTATTATAATATAATTGATTATTTTATTATAATATTAAAAATATAATATTATATTATTGAAAATGTTAATAAATATATTTTAAATATTTTAATAATTAATATTTTGATTAAAATGATATTAAAATATTTTACTAATATTAAATTTATAAAATAAAATTATTTTAAGTATTTATCCTTGAAGTGAAAAGTTCAGAAAATAGCTTACGTAAAATCATACCGTAAGTCATTTTTCAGAAAACACAAAAGAAATTTTATTAACCAGAAAAATGTTTTACGTTGATCAATCAATTTACTTATAATCAAACAATGAAAAATGAAGAAAATAGTTTTCGAAAAATATTTTATGTAAAACAAACGGACCCTTATTAAACCAAATCACCCATAAATGAAATGAAATGATTTCAAGTAATGGATGGTTACACTGTAGCGGCCGCATGGGATAGAAACGGCAAGCAGGGGTGTTTTTGTCGTTTCAAATACTATTCAGTAAATTTAGGTAATTTTTTTTAAAAATAATACCGTGGAAAATACTTGTAATACAGTGTGAACACGGCGAGAGGGGGACGATTCCATCGAGGCAATGATAAAAATACGTTTCGTTACACAGAAACATTTATCACCCGCTTATTATTGGTCAAATAAAACTCATATTTTCTCTAGGGTAGAACCAATAGTTTCCCGCCACGTAGATTGTGCTTTATCATTATTCATGAACTTCCTTTTCCTTATTAGGTGGCCGCCGGAGCTTGGACACTCCTCCATCCATGTTCAGAAGCAATCGGAACGCACTTAGCGCCCGTTTCGTGCCACTTTGCACGTTGGTCTACTAAAAAAAAACACTATATTTATTCTTATAGATCAATCTAAAATACTTTAATATTATTTTTATTAAATAATTATTTTTTAAAATATCATCTTTCCTCTGACTATCCACATAAAGATTATATCACCATTGTGGCATAAATCACCTTGTATAATTGCACCTAATGATAAGAACTCCTAGACAACTTAACATTTATTTTTGGTAATAATATCAATGTTATCCATTTGTTTGAACCCATTTTATAAATTAAAGCATTTTATAACTTCAATCGTGTTAATATCTAATTTTACAATAAACTATTTTTTTGAACGACATTACATTTATCATTGTTATTAAAATATGAAATTATCTGTCAAGCTTGCATGAAAATTTCCAGATGGGACGAAGGAATTTTTGTTTCCACCGGCAGTGACTCTGTCATGGAGTTTTCCTTGCATGGGTTATAATTATTTATTTATTTTTCTGTATACATAAAAAAATGTTAAATTGTAAAAATAACAGATGACATTTGCAACTTTTAGAAAAGTATAATCTTATGCATCTTCGTTTGCCTGAGCGTTACTTGGGTGTTTCATTGGTCACAAGAAAACTTAGTGAGAAGGATCGTGTGGGGTTAATTGAAAAATTAAGGCTAAATTGGTTCAATGCTCCAATAGGCATCTCAGCCTATGCTGGTAGGTTATAGCTTATTAAAACTGTTTTATTTAGCATGTCTAACTATTGGTGCAGACAGCCCATTCTTCCCCAGGCTGTTATTAGGAGGGTGGAGCAACTATGTTTTCGTTTATTCCGGAAGGAATCTGACTATGTGGCTACCGGTGCTCGAATTAGATGGGATCATATCTGTTTTTTTTTAAGTCTAAAGGAGGCCTTGGGGGTATGAGACATTAAAGCTTGGAACAAGGCATGTAGTTTTCAATTGATAAAGTCCATTCTTGCTGGGGAGGGATCCCTTCGGATGGCATGGATCCATGCTTATGTGGGAATGAATGCTAGTTGGAGTCTTCGAAGGCTTATGAAAATGAGGCGTGAAGCTTATCCTATCCTTGCAAATGTGGCTAACAGAGCTACTTTGAAGGCTGCCCGGTTTTGGGAGCAAATTAGGATCAAAGATGCCAAGGTTGTTTGGCAGAAATTAGTAGGGAGGCTTCCCACTTGTGATAGATTATTGCGTTGGGTCATGCAAGTTGATGGCAGATGTTGTATTTGAAATGATGCTATGGAGTCCATTGATCATTTGCTCTTCGAGTCCTTTTGCTACAGACAACTGGAGGGCTATCTTGAGGCTTCCCACTTGTTAATTATTAAATGTTAATGTTAATTTTAAAATCTTTTATGTTAGTCACTTATGTTTAATTATATATATATATTATTCAAAGTGAGTGGTGGGAGAAAACTTTTTAAAAGAAAGATTTTTGCGTGAAATTTTTTGATTTTATTTGGGAATTTAGAGGTAAATTAGGAAATTTTGAGAATATATGGAAATTGAGAATTTAGAGGGAAATTGGAAAATTTAGATGGAATAGAAAAATTTGGGAAATTGGCGTTAAATATAGTGTCCAACAAGATATTTTTGGGTTAATTAAGCTCATACTCCTCCAACAATCATCATTTTTCCACTTGTATTTAATTTTTAATTTCTTTCATTTTAGTTATGGTTTAATTGTAAATATCTTCTTAAATTTTTAATTCGATGCAATTTATAGAAACACTATGTATAAACTATATAAAGTAATAAAATATATAGTTTATATAAACGGTATAGTTTATATTTATATTATTTTTCATTTATGTTATAATTGTTAGATAATTTTTTGTACAAAAATTAAACATTATAGTTTATATTTATATTTTAGAGAATTAATCACGTTTAATACTAATATTCATTTATTATGAAATTAATTATTATTTTATTACCAAAATTATTTATATTATTAATGTAAACCATTAATATATATTACATAATAAATACTTTCATTATTAATATTATTTTTTCTTTATATAAATTAAACTATATAATTTATATAAATTAAACTATATTAATTTTCCTTTGCATTATTAATAATGTTTTATCTAATTTACATTTAAATAATTTTATATAATAGGTCTATTTATTAATATAATTATTATAATAATTATTTTATTATAACATTTAAAAAGTAATCATATTAATATTTTAATTACATCATAAGTTAAAAAACTGATAATTTATAAGATTTCCATGGTAATATATAAGTCAGATAAATATCAGATCAGATCATTAACAAGTCGGATCATTTACAAGCCAGGTTAAAAACATGTCAGGTTGAAAACAGGTCGGGTAATACCAGTTATTTACCAGGTCAATCTCGGGTTCGGGTTCATATCAGTCGGATGCAGTTCGGGTTCGGGTATCATATTTTCTGTTCAATTCGGGTTTAGGTCGGATGCAGGTAGGGTTCGGATCCATAATTTCCCAAGTCCAAATCGGGTTCAAGACAACACCAGTTCCGACTCGAGTCGGTTTCGGATCGCCACAGTGCAGGTCAAAAACAGTTTTGACTCAAGTCGGTCTCATTCAGTTTTTTACAGCCCTAATTCTTAGCCGCCGTGTGCAGTCCTTTCGTGAAGCTGATAGCCTCAATCGAGTGCGGTCCATCCATCCGCCTAGCCATCCCTCCCATCATCATTCCGTGCTGGTCTCGAGCAATAATGCCAATAGCGGCTGCACCCGTGTTGGGACGGAAAGCCTCATCAACATATAATTCATTAGTTTGAGTAGTTTTATGATGCTTAATGGCATTTATACTTCTACAAGATATAATGCTTCTTGTCACCCAACACTACAAAACCATCAAACAAGCATGAAATAAAGGAGATTCATACAAAATTGAGTGACTTTAATGGTAAAAGAAAATATTTTTCTTGAAGAAATTATGTTCGTATACTACTTTATAATCACTTCAAACTGTTCAAAAATGAAAAACTCAAAAAAAATAAGGGAATTATACATGCATGATTAATATGGACAGAGGACACTCAATGAGCACACACAACGTTATTCCCTAGACTATACATTAAGACATTATTAGACCTTATCCGAGCTTGAGATGTTGTGTCCAACTGTACAGAATATTTAGACATCCATGACAGTAAAATTTGGATGCCCATGAAAGCAAAACTCATCTCCTACTTACACATATCTCCCTGCGCTTACACAGCCTGTTAAAATTGCTAGGAATGCTCTTTCTTTTCTTCAAACCGGTATCCTCGGCTAAGCACTCTGGATTGATAGGAGCCTCACTTTGTGTAGGTTGGTTTACCTGTAATTAAAAAATGGGTCAAGAAATTGGTAAAACAAGAAAGAGAAAATGTGGATCAGAAAGGAAAAATGAAATGAAAGATGGTGTTGATGAAGGAATGATAAAATGCTTTGGAGTCGTTAAAAGTACCGCAACGAAAATCTGAACATCGCTTTGACTGCTACTAATCCCTCCTACTGTATCAAACCTGACTTTAATTGGCATATTCAGCACCGTTGAAAGCAGTAAGTTTTAACAGAGAATAGAACACCAAACAAATTTGAGGGGAAAAAAAGGAAGTTGCTCATAATATGAATGGCCCCAAGTGATGTTTCAGCCCAAATGATTCTAGAGGATAGGAGGATTTCACTAGACTGATCTCTCTTCAAATTTAAAGATGCATAGAAAACCACAGGCTCAGAAATAAACAGATCAATAGATGGTCAATATAATCTTCGGTACAAGCCTCAATGATGGGTTTCCAGATGAGTAATAGTTATCAACTTTGCAATTGAACCCAACAAGACAATTTTAAAGAGGATATACAGAGAATGATGGCAAACTATATGCACAAAACACATGGTCTTTTTCCAAATGCTAAAATCAATATTAGTAAAGAGCATTTTCCCAAAGAAAGTAAGATCATCAATATGTAGTGTATACACTATATATGTGTTTGATAATAGAGAGGCGACTTTTGATGTTGATCATTTCTAAAAGGTTGGTAACTGATATTTGAAAAAATTAGGATCTAAGGTACAACAATGAACATGATGCCACTATTACTACCGAGAACCTATCAATCTGAAGCATGAAAATCCAGGTTGTGTACTACAGGTTATCGTTAGGATACTAAGCCAGTAGTTATCTCGAGTTTGGCCCATCCTAAGGAAAAATGAAGCTACAATGCATTTTACCAATTTCAATTTTTCTCTTCTAAATAGATTACTGAAGAGGTGAGACATACTCCAGTAGTCCTTCACCCATAATTTTGTTTTCACTGATTTGTCTTGCTTGGGATACTTCACAGACTGAATCAGACTCATCGTCATTGACATTATCACTGCTTTCAAATGCATCACTATGAAGTCCAAACTGGGATCCTGAAAATAGTGGAAACTAAAATGTGACTCACTGCAGTAACTAAGACTTGAACTAGGTGGCTAGGGAATTGGGAATACCAATTGATAAGCTTGATTCTGGTAAAGGCCTCTTAAGCAAAAGCTTCTGGCACATGGTAGCACCTTGGAAATCTAAAAATGTATAATCTACAAACTCTAATCTATCAGATGGCGTCATCTCTGAAAATCCAAACGAGTCGGTCCATGTGCGCAGCACATCAGGGACAGCAGGTAGTATCAGCCTCTCCACTCCTAATTCCATGAGCATCTGAAGAATTCATGCAAGAAGCAATGGTTAGAAATTTGTCAGATGCATGCATTTAGCATGGCAAGAGTTCGATGATATCTAATCCCAGAAACTTCATGCAATATAACTTGAACAAATAGTGGATATAAAGCACTACTAATAAAAGAAACAATACAAGCGTGACATAGCTTACCCTTTCAAGTTTGTTCATCAAAATGCTGCACATTCCAAGTCGCCTATGTTGAAACCTGGTACCAATCAAAGGCATTTCGTCCACCTTTTCTCCATGAACCCTTTGAATGGTAAAATAGAAATAAAAACTACCATTATGAACAAGGTAAACATACAAACATCCTAACCAAGCTCTTCAGTCCTATATAGCACACTACTGTTAGTTAGAGAAGCTTACCTGATATTGGCAACAGTAATGAGTTCATCATGTCTTTCCAGAAGTATTGTGTAGAAGCCTTGGAAGTTCAGGCGGTTAAGTTCTGAGCTGTAAAAATCAAAAACCAAATGAATCAAACTTTTAAGCCACTTACTTTGATTAAACAAACAAAATTCGAATAAACCATAAGTGATAATAGTAGAGCAGCAACTAAAACATTATGAATTTGAAGTGTCAGCAGTAGGTTAGTATGGCCTACTGGCAAAGAAACCAATATGCTACCAAGAATAGCTATAAGGAAGAGTAAATGCAGGTAATTTAATAGTAATCTTTAAAATTAGCCAATTCAAACCATTAAACATTCAGTCCAAGATAATGTTTTGCCAGATTAACATAAACAAATCACACAAAAGTAGATCATTTTCCTCCCCTAGGCGCAGGCATAGACAGCATACACCATCGTTATCATAAGTCACTCCAGCCATAAATCTAAAACACTCAAGTTTTGCCACATAAAAATTTGATTTGCAAATTAATGCAAAGTTTAAAGCAACGATTTGCAGAAAGAGTATCCAGCCCATACTAAAACGATCAAAATGACATGAGAAAAATAAGAATTACCCACCTTCTACTGAATATAATATCTGCAACAAGATCTCTTCCTGTACGAGATTCTTTGACAGGCTCAAAACACTCATGCATCACTTCAAGCGCAATGCTAAGTTTGCTATAATTCTCAACCATAGTTTCATTATATGAAGCACCAGGATCATGACTCTCCGGCTGCACAGATTTAATTAATGTCCATGTTAGATTGTCTGTTCCAACAGGAATTGGTCTCCCTAAAAGCTTATTAAGGCCCAAAGATATCTGCAGCAAAACAGCAATTGTAAGCACTCAAAAGGTTACTAAGATGCGAAATGACTTGCGCCCCAAGGAAGAAAGAAATATCATTAGCTATCACTTGTAAATGCACAACACAAAATACAAAAATAAAGCTGATTGAAAGTACCTCTTCACACTTTTTACTGCAAAACCAATTTTCTTTTGCACACATTTCCAACCTATCTGCCCCTGCACTGCATATGCAGCCAACATGATCTGCATCAAATACACAAAACATTATAAATAAACCAATGTGCTTTTGAGTTATCAACAAATACAGAAAATAACATACATTTATGTGCACACTGAGCACAAGTGAAAAGTCTGTCATCCACTATACTTGCACCATCTTTAAGCTTGCTTTGACCACAAATCCCACAGCAACATGATGGACAGAACCAATCACCTTCTGGAACTGTCTATGACAGAAAATTTCAAAAGAAGAAATCAAAGATCTGTAGGATTTAAGAAAATGGAATATAAACATATTATGATGGGATGAACTGATAATAAAAACAAAAGTGATACCTTTAAATCAAGGCAGTTTTTATGGAATGAGGATGGACATTGATCACATAAAATTAGTTCACCCCCATACTGACAAACAGAACAAATTTCATCATTCTGGTCCATTCGGCAATTGCAGGTCAACTGGGAATTCTTCTTTTTTCCAAACTTCACTCTACTATTTTGAATTACTTGCATCTGGCAGTCCAATAGAGACCTGCCATCTTCCAAGAAGATCTTGGCAGCTGGTCTCTGGTGGTCACCACCGCCATGTGATACAAAACTACCAAGAGTGTATACCTTGCCACAACATTTGCACATAATTCCATTACGAGTTATCCTCCCTTCAGCTTTCAACCTCTGCTTCTTCCTCCAGTAATGTACTTTTGACCTTGGCAAAACAATATTTTTATCTATTAACCAAGACAGAACAGTTCGTGGATTTTGATGCAATGAACTAGGAGTTACAATCTGCTGCACTCTTTTGGTTGATTGTAGCACACGGTTATGTTGACTACCTTTAAGATTCTCTCTTAGTTTGATCAGTGCCGCAGGTAACTTTCCACCTTTCAATCTTGAGATGCTAGTGTATTTAACAGGTAAGTCAGCTCGCCTTTTTTTTAAGTCAAATGCAAGATATGACAAACTATCTCTTCTCTTCCTTTTAGGCTTTTGAATGACCCTACTTTGCTCAACGACATTTCTTCTCTCAAATCTCGAATAACACTTCTTGGACCAGTTTGCAGATTCATTATTTGATGGCATCCAACTTCTCTGGATATCCACAATAGCAAGTGTAGAAGAAAGCTTTTCACTCACTAACTGACAATCAATCTCCTCAACAGCATAATTTTTTTCCACTGGACTAGAGGGAGAGGCATCAGTTTGAGAAAGTCCGCCTTTTTTATACAGTTTTTGCAGGCTTCCCGAAGTGACTGGTACATCCTTCCTCTTGGAGAAGTGTAGCACAAATAGCGCTTTCCATATTTGGTTGCATAGTGAAACGCCCAACCCAGCCATGAGAGATGCTTTTTTGCCTTTAGTGTCATATCACTTCCCTTGCATCTGCGAATCTCATCCAATTCAGCCTTAGACCAGTCCAAAACAGCTTGAGGACAATATTCTGGTTCAATAAAATGTACTCCCTTGATGTTTGGTTCAACAATACCTAGATGTTGTACATCTTTGGGGTTTGAACAAATTTGCTTTCTGGAGCGATCTGTCAGAGCTAAACAGATCTCATGAAGAGAGTAATAACAACGCCCAGCTGGTGAGAAGTATCTCCACCTGAGGATTTTTCCGTCTTGCTTGGTCTCCATTTTCCATCCTTGATACAGAAGATGCTTCCTAACATCAGCTATCAGAGAATTATCACGCTCCTTACTAGCAAGAACATATTTGGTAATGGCATCAGGGCATGACTCAGCTTTAGGAAGAAGCTCGGGGTCAGGAGGCATCCATGTTGCAGTTACATTGGGCCCTGAATGTTTAGCCCTCCTTTCAGTTGTATCTATATCAGTGCCGGAAATCCCTTCATTGCTAGCTACAGAACAGATGCTGGAAATTCCACCTACAACAGAGGGTGAGATCAACAAAGCCTCAGGTGAACTACAGACAGCTTTATCAACACAGGTTTTGGGCAAAACACTGTTATCATCCTTGAAAAAATGCATCAGCTGACCGGAACTTGATTTCCTTTGAATTGATGGAGTTCTAACTGTGTCTGGACTCAACAAAGAACTGTTAACGTGATTCTTAACTGGTACAAGAGCAAAAGTGTCACCTAAATTTGCATCAGTACTCATATAAACATCTGCATCCGGTATAACAGGCTCCTCTTCTGATTTGGTTTCTGGTTGGGAGAAAGCAGGAAGGCCTAATACCTTGACAAAATGATCCGCAGTGATTTTATGGTTATCTTTTATTACTTCTAGCACCAATTCTTTCCACAGAGACTCACAAGAAAATGTCCACTCTCCAACATTTTGAAAATCCTTTCTCTCTCGTAAATCGTACCAAAATTGTTGTACAGAAAAAGAAAGAAACCATTCTTTCCCGTATTGTTCAATCAACTCAAGAAACAACCAGGTTCCACGTTTTTGCCACTCCTCTTCGAAGTCGTTCCAATCTTGAGTAATTCGTAAGTTGCCAATTTCAGCAGTCATTTCATCACCCAAATCAGGGAAGAAAACTCTCCTCTTCTCTGAACCAACTTCATGGTCCAAAATCACACCTTCCCACCAAGCATCATTATACAATACATCAACGCAGAGCCCGTAGCAAAGGTTCCATTTGCAGAACTCTAGTTCAGGTGGCAATTGCCTTATAGTCCCTCGATAGTTATAGTGAGTCTCACATGAACAAGCAAAAACATTTGTTACAGCAGAAACACTCACAATGTCGACGAGCTTATCAGAACCATCATCAAGAAGAAGATGATCATACTTGACGTGACACTCTCGCTTATTCCATGAAATAACACTTCCTTGATGCCATGAACCTTGAAACCCTTCTTCAACACTCCTCACCTACAAAATTTCAACTTTGTTATGCAAAGAACAAATCCATCAATATCCATATTTAAAGTTTAAAATGATCAAAACAAATTACTGTAGAATTCTGAAACGACTACTATTAACATTGCATGGCAACCAAACAGACCCCAAACAGTGCTTATCTTCGCATTGTTAATCAGGTAAACAATTAAGCAGCAGAATGCAGCTCTAATAACACTGATTAAAAGCAAGCTTTCATCATTAAACAAAACCCAATTCTAAAAATAAAAAAGCACCCACATTAATTAAACTCCGTAAGACCCAAGAAAATTAAAACCCAGAATTCGAAACCCCTAAAAAGAAGAAAAGAAACCGACCAAGAAAGGATAATTAAAGGGGGGGACTTAAAAAAAACGATAATGGAAACAGCCACATTACCTCGACTTTTTCGTTAATATCAAATTTCTTTCTTTCAAAAATTCTCTTACGTTCCGTTTTCCACGAAGCAGAGGCTTTGTGTTCTAACAAACCCATCCCCGCCATCGGAGACCCGAAAAGCGTTAAATACTTGATAACCAAAGTACGTTATAAAGAGAGTAGTACCACCGAGAGACTCTTATACAGAGAGAGGGAAAAAATAACAACAAAAAGGAAGGAAATCGCTATAAAATAACAGCTTGTTTTTAATATAAAGAGAGGGAACAAATTTCTCCTTTTTTTCTTTATGCTTTCTGGCCAAGTAACAAGTTTTCTACTATACTATTCTCATTATCTTCCTAAAACCCCAAACCCTCTGCTTTTGCATGCAATATCAACTGTTCATCAATTAGGACCCGTCAATGAACGGTTGCTTTCTCGGGAAAGGAGAGAGAGATTCATTAGTCTTTTAGTCCTTTAGTTGTGTACATAAAAAAAGAGTTTATTTGGTTCGTGGGACTAATTTCAATTAATTTTAACTTGTATTAATTATACGGTCAAACTGTGAAACTCGTCTTAAAACAATAATGTTTAAAAATATATTTTAGATCAACCAAATTATATAAAAAAAACTTTATAAAGTTTTGAACTGCGTTAAAATGAGTATATAGTTTTGATTTAAGTTTACTTCAAATTTAATTGATTATTGTATATGCAGAATTGGATGATTGGATCGATAGGAGGGTGAAATTGGTGAAGACGAAGCATCTTAGGTGGAGCGGGGGTTTGTAATTTGGAGTTTAGGGGTGTTTGATGCGCAAAAGATTATTTCTCACGTTTAATTCACAGAAAATTATTATAATGTAATAATTTATTATTAATAGTAGTATTTTATTAATTGAAATGATGGGTATGTTATTATCTCGGTAATTAATCATTCTAGTCACTTTAGGTAAAAATGTCTTTGGAATAATGTATTCTTTTTAGATGGATCATTTTTAATCTTAATTTTTCGTGTTTTACTCAAAATTATAAACATAATAATAATATACAAAGAGTTTGATTTAGTAAAATATTAATAAATTTGAGCCTTTAAAATTATTTCATAATTTTAATATTTAATATATTAATCATTTTAAAATTTTATCTTTGAAAAAATGATATTATTATAAAAATTTAATTATTTAAAATAATATTTAATTTTGAGTTATTAAAAAATAAATTTTATATTTTAAAAATATTATTTTTGTCAACTCGAGATCATAACATTATTTTTCATATTATATTATATTTTATATAAATAAATATGATACTTATAAAAACTGTTTAAAATATAAGTTTGATAATTGATATACTAATTATATTAATTATATATTAAACATGTTTTTCTTAAAAGTTAGATAGTGTAACAATTAAAATATTTTTATGAATTTTTATTAAAACATTTATAATTTTATGTTAAAGTTTAACTTGTTGAAGAAAACAAATATCACAAGGATAATTTGGTAAAATATGCATCCAAATAATCTTAAATTCCTCAAATAAAACATTGTAATCTTACATTCCTATTAAACAAATCAAACAAGGTAATAAAACATTCTCATAACAATATTACATCCCAATAATTTTATTACCAAATGTAATCTTCCATTCTATAAACTAAACACCCCAATTTAGGCATAAGATTTAGAATATGATTTTAAGTTTTTTACTTTAATATATGTGGCATAAATAATATAAAATATGATATTAGTAAAATAAATCATATCATTTGATTCAGCACCAGAATGATTAGAAAAATATCAATTTAAAAGTTAAACAATTAAATTAATATCAATTTTTTCTTAAATTAATAATATTATTTTGTTCTATTAAACCATAAAATATTTTGAAATACAATAAGAATCTATAAAAATAAGTAGAAACTAATTATATAAGTCGAATATTTTTTTTAAAATTATTGAAATGTACAAATTAAATTTCTAAAAAATATATCATACAAGTAAATTATTATTCAAACAACTTATAAACACAAACACATATTATTATCAACAGTGAATGATAAAATCATCGACATTAACATAAAAATACATATAACAATGATGAATCATTGAGAAATTGACACTGTCATAATTCTATTGTGATCTATCTTTTATGATTATCAATATAAAGTCCAGTGGTCTAAATTAAAAATAAATCAACAGAATAATTAGATAAATATCATATAAATATAAAAATCATAGGTACGAATGATGGGTCCAATAGTGCTCAAAATATCTTTCCTTATTCATTTGGAATCGAAATTACCAATGCAGTATTCGCAAAAACAGGTTTTGCATGCGGCAATACTAATTCTGAATCGGTTTGTTTGCTCATAATCCCTCTGTGGGTATTTCAGATTTTCCCTTTTTACCTCTGGGTTTACCTTGATTTATCTTGCAATCTAATGTTTCTGCTGGTTTTGGGTTAGTTTTAGTTTTAGAGTTAATTGGTTGATAGCTTTGTGATCTGGATTCTTGAATTCTTGAATTATATTTGATTCTGTTGCTTTCCTCCTTTAATTCTTTAATCTCTCTTGGTTTGTTTTGAGATCCATAAAGCCTAAAATCTTGACTGTGATTTTGACTCTTTTCACTTCAATTTCTGATTTTGTTTTAACTTTGTTTATAGTTTCCGTTAAATTCAATCTGTGATTTTCTTGAAGTTTAATCCGAACTGTATATTTAGAATCATCAATTAGCTTTACTTTTTGGTAGTTAGAGGCTCTTTGATTACCAAAGACTAAATTTTGTGCTAAATACCCTAGCAACCTTTTTAGCTCTGTTTCCATCTCCTTTTCGCTTCAGATTTTAGAGGTTTTTGGTTTATTTATTTTTCTGGGTTTGATTCGATGTTCATCTTCATCTTCAGATTGTAGTTTAGAGTTTTTTCCCCTGGGTTTGGTCTGTTTAAACTCTCAAGAACAGTGAATACCTCAATAGTGATATATATGCTTGCTTATTATCATTTTCTCTGCAAAATTTTCTGGGTTTGATGTTCATCTTCACTGGTTTTGTCAACTTATAGTTTCTGTTACTGGATTTGGTCTATTTTACTCTCTGAAACAGTAAATACCTCGAAATTATTTGATTAGATTTTGTTGGAATTAACTTAACTTCTGCTCTTTGTTTCCAGTCTGCTATTATCTTCATCCAGTATTCTGCTTAATTAACCTCTAGTTATTGCGTATCTTAATTTTCTAATTAGTAGTATCATTTTTATCTATTCATTTTATTCTATTTCCTCCCTTTTAACACTAAGCTTTTAGCAATAATAACAATAGTAACCAACTAGTAATAATTAAAATCCTACTTAGTAACCAACTAGGCTTTTTAGTACCCCTCAATTCTCTAGCGTTTTATTGGTGCATCTTCTGTCTTCTTTGGATCATTTTTCATAGTTTCTCATAGCTTCGACTATAGATGATTTCTTGAGGTCATGTCCTTCTTTTAGAGCCCATGGGGCATAGGAGGAGGGCTCGACAGAGTGGTGACAAGGAGACTAGACTTAGAGTGTGCTCGTTGAATGTAGGCACATTAAATGCTAGGCTTCTGGAGCTGTCCGACGCACTTAATAATAGGAAAATAGATTTTGCTTGTATTCAGGAGACTAGGTGGAAGGGGCTCGCGCCAGAGAGTGTAATGGGTACAAGTTGTGGTATTCAGGCGTAGATAACGCTAGAAATGGGGTGGGTATCTGGTTTCCTCTAGGCTCAAGGAAAATGTAGTTGAAGTTTGTAGATACCGGGATAGGATCATGATGATTAAGGTTATTATAGAAGAGGAAGTGGTGAATGTCCTTTCAGTGTACGCCCCACATGTTGGCCTAGGGGAGGGGGAGAAACGTTTGCTTCTGGGGATCAGTTAGATGATGTACTTAGGAGAATTCCGGAGGACCAAGAGTTTTCATAGGGGGAGACTTCAATGGCCATATAGGTAGTACAACCGACGGGTATGACGGTGTTCATGGGGGTTTCGGTTATGGTAGCAGGAACGATGAGGGGCGTACGTTGCTTGAATTTGCTACTGCTCACGATTTGGTGATCACTAACTCCTTATTTAATAAGAGAGATGCGAACTTGATTACGTTTCATAGCGGGGGACATTGTACCCAAATCGACTACGTCCTGGTTCGAAATCGGGATCAATGGGCTTGTATTGACTGTAAGGTGTCCCCTGAAGAGGCATGTGCATCGCAATACAAATTGTTGGTTTTGGTGTTCCGCGTTCCGCACGGGCGGAACACTCATAGGAGGGCTAAACTGGGTAAACCTAAGATCCTTTGGAAGAAGTTACATGGAGCGACAGCTGATGACTTTAGGAGTAAGGTTTTGTCTAATACAGGTTTTGGAACTACAAACTCAAATAATGCAGATTTGTTATGGAAAAATATGACAAATTCCATCAGAGAGGTGGGCAAAAACACCCTGGGGTTGTCCACAGGGAAGGCCAAGGAACATAAAGAATCGTGGTGGTGGAACGACGAAGTCCAAACTAAGGTGAAGACAAAGCAAACTTGCTTCAAGGAGTTTCTACAATGCAATGACGACGAAGTAAGGTCGAGAGCTAAACAAAGATACAAGGAGGCAAAGCGGGAAGCAAGAAAACGGTGGCTAAAGCAAAGGATAAGGCATACGAGGAAATGTACAAGAGATTAGACACCAAGGAAGGACAAAACGGCATCTTCAGGCTTGCAAAATCTAGGGAGAATAGGAAAAAGGATCTAGGTAGCATTAGATTATTAAGGACAACAATGGTGTTCTTTTAGCGAAAGATCTGATATTAAGAGGGTTTGGGGTAATTACTTCTTTGATTTATTTAATGACGGTGCCTCTCCTGTAGAGAAAGTACCGTTGATGGGTCATCCGACCATCATACATCGGCCAATGACTGCCCTACAAGTAGGATTGGGTTTGAGGAAGTCAAAATGGCTCTTAAAAAGATGGGAAGGGACAAAGCTGTCGGTCCTGATCAAATTCCTATCACTGTGTGGTTGGCCCTAGGAGAAGATGGAGTTAAGTGGTTGACCAACATCTTTAATATTATTTTAGAGACTGCCAAGATGCCAGAGGAGTGGAGAGAGTCCAC